ATATAAAATAAAATAAAGCCATGTATTCGTTCGTCGTGATATTTTCGAACTTTCATCGTATAAGGCGTGAAAACAAGAGACACAGTTACTGTAAAAGGAAGAGGAGGAAGAAGAAACTAAATGAAAAACACATAAAAAAAAAAAGCCTTGAGACGTCGCTGCGAGAATTGACTAATGTAATTGCTCGAAAAAAGAAAAAAAAAAAAAAAAAAAAAAATCCACTCCAAATTTTCGCTACATCGGTTGATTGATGTATTATCGTTTAGCTAGCCATATAAAACGGGGAGTTCCGACCTTTACACGTACACCGACACAGCACACGCGGATAGTAACAATAACTCAAGGAAGACACTAATATTTGTATACATATAAATACGATCGCTGCTCTTTATCTCGATGCTTTCGCGCGTGCACTACTCGGATCGGTAAATCAAGCTCGACGCAATTGCCAAACTTTGCTCTGTACAATATGATTATCTTGTGATCGAACTTTGGTCGTTCGGCTCGATTCTTGTTACTGTATTACCTCATTAGAAGAGCTCGTGAATACTATACATGTATTTGATGCTTTTTTTCCTCTCCGCCCCGCCGCCTTTGATTCGCGTTAAAAATATCGCGTTTCCTTTGTTGCACGTCCCGCAACACTTGAGCGTGTGACGATGTGTCAACAGCGAAGCATGAAAAAATTCACAAAGCCAACGAATTCGTCCTCTCTGAGGGCATAAAATGTGTGATTAATAAAAATAAAAAAAATAAAAAAATTACCGAAGAAAAAAAAAAGAACGAATAAACATGCATATTAAATTAATATATATGTATGTCAGCGCGTGCATTTCGAACTTCCCGCGTTTTTAACTTTGTATTAAAATTATAAAATTATTATAAACAATATGTAGCATGTAGTGAAAATAAGAGAAAAAAAGAAGGGAAGGAAGCAAAGTTGGGCACACGCGTAAGTCGAAAACAATTATTTGTAACGATTACTGTATTTGACTAATGAAGAATAANCAAAGTTGGGCACACGCGTAAGTCGAAAACAATTATTTGTAACGATTACTGTATTTGACTATTATATTTTTTGTGCGACGCAGTCTTACTTTTGTGTCTCGATTGACAAGATAAAAAATATTAATATAAATATTAATTAAAGGAAAGAAAGTCACAGATGAATGAAATTCAACGAGAACGGGATTGAGGGATCCTTAATTTTGAGTAAAAAATACCAATTATGTCTGATTTTTCGAGCAAAAAGTAATTCTTACAATTAACGTACGCATCAATTACTTTTTTCTCTATTTCTGGCTTCTAGTATTTTGCAAGTTTACCATGAAATCCGACCACACATGTACGTACCACTCGCAAAGGCAAATGTAAACGAACCAAACGAGGATCGAGACAAATGTACTTGCGGTTAAAAAACTGCGTACAAATTTAAAAGCTTGCAGGCAGTGGCTCGAGTATAATAATCAAACGATTCCCATACTTGCAACAATCGCATGACAAAGAGTAAATTTAACATAAAGTATAATAATCTACGACGGCACATATCCTTTTTGTTAGAAAAAGAAAAAGAATTAAAAATACACGTACGTACGTTTAAAAAAAAAAAACAAAAATCAACAAGTAGAGATATCGAGCCGACGATAAAGATTGTGCCACGATAGGTAAACGAGCGAGAGATCGGTATGAGATTGTGCCCTCGAATTTGCCCTAAAGGACACTTGTATTCACGAGTAAAAAGAAAAAAAAAAAAAATATCACACATTGGGGAATGGAAATAAAAAAATTTTGCAGCAGCAGCTAAAGTGTAACTGCGTCTTGTACGATTCGCTGTATTAAGAGCTGCGGCGATGAAACCGCGAGAAGAGAGATTATCATGCGCGAAACAAAGAAACCAATGAGAGAAAGCGGCATTGTAATAACGACACCTTGTATTGGAACGTAATTTGTAAATTACCCAATGGACTTCCTAAATTATATGCTGGTACATGATAATACATGTGTTCTGCCACAATAAAGCAGTTTTTTTAAATTATTCGGTGTATACTACTTCATTTCTCAACACTCCTGGCTATCACCTATGACTTTACAACCAATACTACTCATTTGTAGAAATAAAACAAATTGTTACAAATTTAATTCACGATTGATTTAAAAAACGCGTTGATTTCAATTTTCCCGCCTAATGATAAAATCGATTCCCTACTTAACCTACAGCTAACAACAGTCGTAAGTGTAGGTGTCGACATTACCGACGTCACTTTAAGCTCTCCTTTTTTGGCGGAGAAGAAAAAGAGGCAAGTATAGGGGAGAGAGAAAAAGGCGTCAGTTCGGTTGCGTTGCAAGCAGGCAGCCAACGAGCCAACCAGCGTAGCGCACCATCGGAGCGGAAGAGAAGAGCGTATCGAACGAAATCAAACGAAGCTTAGTGGCCAAAGTAACGCGAGGGCGTAAGTAACGAGCGGACGCGTCCTGGCGCCGGATGAAGAGGTTCAAGATAGTACCGTAAACTAGTCGTTAGTAAGACAGTGGACAGAGCAGGAGAGGCGCGGGCGCGGCCTGTACTCTCTGAAATCGACCGCACGTACTTATGACACGCTCGTAACCGGGAAGGCACCAGACGCTCAAAGACGCGAGAAGATGTCGTCGTCGCTTGATTACTTGGAGCTCTGCAGGCTCTGTCTCGTCAAAGAGAACGTGGAGCTGCCCATATTCGAGGATGACGGCGAGGCCCGGCAGATATACTTCAAGATCAGCTCCTGCCTGCCGGTGAAGGTGAGCCCACAATCATTCATCCGTCATATCCTGTGTTCTCTTGTAGCCACCGCCGCAGCCGCTGCCGCCGCCATCTTGGCCAACCACTCTGTACGCGTCTTTCTCTACTTTTCCCATGTTTCCCAATCATCAGTCCTAAAATCAATAATTTTGGACATATCATTTTTACGTAACGTGGAATAGGCAGTGTATATTTCATACGAATGATCATTCGAGCGGGTAGTATCGAACGCGTGTAATCGAAGGCTGATTTTACAGTGCTCGAGGGAGCGCGCGTGTGCAAATGGCCGCTTTCCCGATCGAACGTGCCTGCGCTTGTCGCTGTATATACATATGTATACACACATGTCTATTTCCTATACAAATGTGTCGTGCGGGTGCGGCGCACTTTGCCACGGTGGAAACTAGACGGAAACTAGCCTGTTATTGTTTTTAAGGCTACCAAGCATGCAAATGAGAACGAGGCTTGTCTCTCTCCCCATTGATGTTGTTTATCAATACTCGCCCCATTGGTGTACTTAATGATGCCGGTTTTATTGCGTTTTTTTTTTCTTTTTTTATTTAAATTTTATTTTCATTTGTGATGCTGTCGTTCGTTTTTAATGGTTATATACGCATCATCGCAGATACATTTACGCTCCATCTTGTAGGCTACCCTGCTGCTGCAGAGGAGCGTGCGCAGAGCTCACGAGATTTGCGGGTAGTCCCTTTCTTGCTCTTCTACGGCGGTTCTTCTCCCTTTGTCTTTCTCGTCACAGATATTCATACTTATATGGTCCTGTAGGAAAGTATAGCTATGTTTTTGAGCATTGCTCCTTCATTTTTTTTGACAAGTTGACAAAGTCCTGATTTTTTTTTTTTACGTTAATGTAAGTTTGTTTATATCCCTCGAGGGTTCGATTATGTACTACATAGGTATATTTTTCTCTCAAAACACACCTATATACATCATGGCAGAACTGGGAAAAACCAGATCTTGTTTCGTTCTGCCAAATATAGGTAGATTTTGTGGGAAAAAGCATGGAAATGTGTGTGTGTATATATATATATATATATATATATATATACCGCAGAACCAGGACCAATCCCAAAGGGATAAATAAACGAACCTACCGTCAAGTTTGGTTTTTTGGGAACGAATATGAAACTTATTTATTTGACATGCCAAAGCGCAATGCTTATTATTTGTGTTGGCGAATACGAAAAATTCGACGATTTGACTACTTATTTCACAATTCACGCGGAATTGCCTTTTGTTTTTAAAACACCGTCATTCCTTCATTGGTTCCTATTTTTTACGTTCCCGCGTTTTTTGACCTCCTCCTCCCCCCCCCCGCAAAAAAAAATAAAACCTGCTTTTAAGGGCTTAATCGAATTCTTGCAAACTTATGCAATCGTTATCATTTTCTTGGGCAGCCAAGTTATCTGTTTTTAATTAGTTTTCTCGAAAGCATAAATTAATGTTCCCTGTTGATGCACATTCGAGTTATTTTTTTTCTGTGCGGTCACGAGATAAAAAAAAAAAAGTTAAAAAATCTTATGCCCACATAATATAATATTCGAGAACTCCTTTCCGTTGAGAAGGCATCGATTCCAGAGACAAGTTTAACCACCAAGCGCGCAAACCGTACATACACAGCTGAACTCTTGGGAAATCGATCTCCTCTCCAGCCCCCTTCCCACCCTCTTTCTCTCCTTCACACTGCGCGTACACTGCACATATACGCTACGGGGCACGTCGACCATTTCGAGTGGACTTGGCTACCTGCGCGCAGCGGCTTATGTATTATGCAGCCTCGTCTAACGGGGGGAGCAATGATTCCCCCAACTGTATTTTCTTCGCTTTGCATTTCACTACTGCCTTTCCAACACCACCGCCACACTATCTTCTGACTCGAAGCAGATAACGATAAAACATTTCGCCGCGTTGCTCAGGTGCTCTGTGGAAATTCAAGCTAGGAAGAGCTCTTCCCCCCCGTATAACCGGTTTATTGACTTATGGTGTTACTTTCTTTGCCCCCTTAGCTCTATATTTGTAGCTCTCGCTTGTGGGATTGCGATTATTTTTTTTTCTCAAACAACAGTTTTTGTTGATATAAAAATTATTATGAAAGTTACAATTGTCGATTGGCTTGGTTGCCGTCACCAATGACAACACATCCATGGTGATGTTATTTCTCACGGCAACCAAGTTTGATTGTTGGTAGTTATTCGATTGTTCTCAGGGGATGAGCCTGAGCTTGTTAATACCACGTACTGATACAAATATTAATAATTTTCTTATTATTTTTTTAGGTGGCACACGATGACAAACTACCCAAAAAAATATGTGATCAATGTGGATATAAAGTAGAATTATTGTACCAGTTTTGGAACACAACAGTCAATGCAGAAAAACAGCTTCTGCAGTGGCTCGGAGACGTTGGTGAGCTCGAGGATAAGCAGGGTTATATAACCGAAGTCCTTGACTCCGTAAGTACCATAAACATTTCTCTCCTGCATCAACGTGTTATGTGATACATCTTTCGTAATTCACGAGTCGTTCAAAGGATAAATTGTGTAGACCTTATATTAACATACCTCGTTGTCTTCTATTTTTCCAGAATGTGATGAAACAAGAAAGAAGCGGTGATAGTAGATTAGATGGTAGTGTTATGCAAGTCGCCGAGTCAAGTAACATAGACATAAATATGATAGACAATATGTCCATCATTACGATGCCTGACGGGAGTGAACAGCAATTTACCACAGTTCCTATCGAAGGTAGTAGCACTGTACAAACAGTACAGGTAGTCGCAGGCTCCAGCACACAAGAACAAGCAAACGTAGCCGAGGAAGAGGAGGAAGAGGATGAGGACAACTTTGATGACGGATGTGACAACGATGATGGTAAGCTTCTTTAATAACTTTTTTTTTTAATAGTAGATGAAATTTTGTACTAAATATTTTGTTTGATTCAAGGGATGACTGTAAAAGAAGAAGCTGAAGATGATCAGAATGAAAGATCTCTCGAGTCTACGTTTGTAAATGTTTCTTTGCCTTGTGATGAAGCTGGCCCCTCTGGACTCCAGCAGAAAATCGCCAACGTGTCTGAAATAACTTCGCAGACTGCAGAAGGCGACTCTAAACCTGGGTAAGTTTCATATTTATGTTTGCAAATCAAGAGTCAAAGATGAACTGTTGTGGTGAACACACACAAATTAGAGTCTATATTTGTTTTAATATTTTTGTGTACTAGTACTCATTATTACGTTGTATTGCTTAATTATTTTGTAAGAAATTTTATCGTTTATAAATTAAAGGGTTTTTTTTTTATTGAAAAATTGACTATGAACTACATATTTTATTATTTGGAGAGTTAGTCACCAATCGATTCTGAGATGGTGCAAATCGGCACAAGGTAAGTGCACACTTAATAACCCACAACCATCTTTGACTCTAAGTATTCAGTAATTTGGGTCCTCAACTTTTTTGTTCCAAACAGAATTTGTACTGTCATTTTTACTTTTTAATTAAATTAATTGATTTTTTTTCATTAAATTTCCAACAAATTACTGTATACTTGCAATTATTATTACTATTATATACTACTATTATTTATGTGTACACATCAAGTAGCATGTATTTGATATATGTTACAATGATATCTGTCCAAATTTTTTTTTACAATCTTATTCAATCTAGTAAATATTTTTATAAAATCATTTTTTTTTAAAGAGAAAATAGTTTTCAATGTAGCATATATCATATTAGATCTTACGGATTCATGTGAACAGAAAGATCACAAATTGTATTTTTCGATAAATTGATTATTTTTGAATAACCATTTTCATTTAGATATGTGTCAATCAGATTATAAGTACATAAACAATAATAGATCTTTCTATTCATCGTGAAGAATTATGTTTACATGTTGTCGATATAACATTCCCACGCTTACGTAAAGGCACTAATGCCGCACTTGACCAAAATTGGTCAAAAGACATCACTGACGATCGATAGGTTTATAAAATCGCTATTTTTATTGAAATCCAGTACATACATATTTTTTTTAAAAAACGCGATGCGACACTCGAATATCTAGTCGAGAATCCAACTGAGTTCTCATTGTCTAAGTAGATATTTTTTTATTCTTGATAAGCAATTATTCTAAAAATATCAATGATTTCTCTCTCTGACGTCAGGATTATCGGATAAATGTATAATCTTTAAAATTAACAAATATACATATACATATATATATATTTATATTTATTAGTACATATGTAGAAACTATTACATCGGGCACAAGTAATGTCGTGTTAATTTTTGCGCTATTCCGCTAACTTTTTTGTTAGCACTTAAATAAGTGTATAAGCATAAATATCAGACTGAAGATGAACAAGAAAACCAAACTACTGGGAGCCAAAGATGCAAGAAAACTTTCCAGATATCTCCAGTTGAATTCAAAATGAAAAAAGGCGAGTATTTTTTTCTTACCTTATTACAAAGCGTATCAAAATTTCCAGACATATTTTAAGATTAAACTTGATTTATGCATTTGATTCACATTTATAAATTATATCGTAACTGCTAGTTTCTTTGATTAGTGATGGCTGCGAGGAGTTTTCATTCGTATGCCAGTTTTTCACTTTCAAAGTAAACTGAATAGAACCTACAATTCATTGTTCTTATGAAATTTATTCTGTCGTTCAGTACTCGTCTTGTTTACAGCTTATATTTTGTAAGTTGCGCTATTAGCTGTACAAGAGTTTTCGAGTATGTGCTCAACACTTGATTGTGCCTAACCGTCAATAAAATCTAACGGTTACCACAAATTTTAAAACAAACCGGTTAGTTACTTGCTATATTTCTTTGATTTATACATTTTTACCTCCGGTGGTCGGTTTATTTCGTTGCGACTGTAATATTTCGAGGTGCGAGTGAAAAGTGCGATTCATATCTGCGGATATTCAACTGCATTGTCTCCTCAAGCTTCATGGATCTACGAGCGGTCATCATTTTCGAAATGCATTAGTGCATGGTAATATATGATTAAAAAAAGGTGAGAAATTTTTTATTATCTTTAAGTAGTCATAAGCCTTAGATTACTTATATTTTTACTGTTTTCCACATAAAAATTTTTTCATTGCGATAATTATTTGATGATCGCAAAATTGACTCTCTAAGCTTGATAATTTATACGGGTTGTTAAAACCACAAATTAATAAAACGGTTTGACACGGTTAATCGATATACAATGCCAAAGCACTTTGCACCTCGCAGGCACGCCAGCAACGCTGTTTATATATTACCCATAAATGTATATTCATGTAAATCTTTAAAGAGATCCAAAGAAAAAAAAATTATGTTGTACCAATCACTAGTTATTCTTTGTTTCGCAAAAGTCATTTAAAACTGTTACAAAACCATGTTATAGCACAGCGTAACGCCTGTTGTATGCCTATTAGACGTTATGAAAACAATTAATCATGCTTTTGAAATTTTGATAACAAATGTTAAGCGCATGAGGTAAGTCGAAGCATTTGATGAATTTTTTTTTTTCCCTTCAAGTAAAGAAGTTATTTACTTCAATACATTTAACTTATGACGAGTGGGCATACTATAAGTCGTCAAATCAATTTTATCATTAAACGTTTGTAATGTCTGGATATTTTTTCCACTGAGAAATCAAAATTATTTGCATTTTAATTCAAAAAGTAAGGTGTAGGTGACCTCAGCACAATCTGTAATTCAATGGTTTAAGGAATATAAGCAAATTTCTTCTAAATTGTAGCTTATAGTAAAGATAACTTGATACTTTACTTCGATTCGAAATCGATAAAAAAAAGTTGCACTAGAGTATTAATTAAGGAAACGACGCGCCTAAATAATTGATCAGATTACAACCTATCCTCTATATTACTTGAAAAAAGCCGTAATTACAGGCTGTCTTCTATTCGTTCGTTCGTTCTACCTATCCATGTTATCGAAACAATCGATTTTTCTTCTCAGTGCTAAAAATATCATTGAATGATTGCTGTTGGCACAAAATAACACATGTAACCAAACAACAGTATTTGATCTCATACACCTATGTATCCGCACCAAAATCCGAGTTTTTAAGTTATAAATGATAGGAAAAAAAAAAAAAAAAAAAAAAAAAAAAAAAAGATCGTGCGTGCGTAGGTGCGGTAGTACCTGGGACTTTATCGCTTTACAGAGACGAAACTTTCGGCGGTCTATCTGGCATGCTTCGCCAGATCCTCTCGCCGAGCGCCGAGAACGAAGAGCTGTCGTTCAATGCTAGCTGTCACGTCCTCCAGCAGCAACAACAACAGTCCCAGTCGCTCTTCAACATCCACTCGTCGGTCCTCCAACTACCCACCGACCTCGCCCACCATCAACAACAGCAGCTCATTTCGTCGCAAGAGCAGCAAATCAGCTACCAGGATCAGGTGCAAATACTCACCGAGATGCACATATGTCCCAACTGCGGCGTCAAGTTGACCTACCACGTGAGGACGGCCCACCAGCACGAGATAAACCTCCTCGACATCGGTGAAACCCAATTGATGCGCTTTACGTGTCACGTGTGCTCGAAAACATTTCTAGCTCAGAGTCACGTCAAGTTACCGGGCGAGCCCACGCAGCTGCTACAACCGCAACAGCAATCGATTCAGGACTCGTCGCGAGTCCAAACGACCGTCGTAAACGCCAGCCAAGAGACGACGCCATACCAAGCCAATCAGCAACAACAACAACAACATATGAGCCATCATCAAATAACGCACATCATGCAGGAGAAGAACTTCTCGTGCGATCGTTGCCAAGCGAGCTTTCGTTACCGCACGCTCCTAGAAAAGCACAAGAAGATGCACGAAATGGCCGCCGGTCAGGACAAGCCGTACTCGTGTCCTCGCTGTCTCATGAGATTCGAGACGCGCAATCTGTACAACCACCACGCCAAGACCCACAAGCCCATCGTCGCCTCGCAATCCGAGCGAGGGGCAGTCAGCAGCGGGGGAGGATCAGGCGACAAAGACAGCAGCAGTTTTACCTGCGAGACCTGCGCCAAGGAGTTCCCGACCGCGGAATCCCTCACCTCGCACAAAAGCGTGCACAGGTCCAGGCCGCTGATCTGCGACGTTTGCGGCAAGGGTTTCACCCATCGCAAGTACTACGTGGTCCACCAGAGAATCCACACCGGCGAGAGGCCCTACTTGTGCGCCATGTGCGGCAAATCGTTCACGCAAGCCTCCACTCTCACCGTTCACAGGCGCTATCACACGGGCGAACGTCCTTACACGTGCACGCTGTGCGGCAAAGGATTCGTCACTCGCACGATTATGCTCAATCACATGAAGAAACACTAGATCATTAAAAAAGATGCTAAAATTGTTTATGTGTAAAAGGTTTTTTTTTATTACATTAGGCCATCCGTGGATATTCAAAGGGATGATTGAATTTTTACATGACCCTTTTATATTCAACTATCAATCATTGATGTATACTGATACATACATATACGAGTAAACTTAACTATTAGAAGCCAAATCAAAGTAGTCAAAGAGGTACAAAAAAATATCGTAGTGTCAAATTGGATGTTAGGAAATAACAAATATATGATCAAACGTATCATTGGAAATAATCACTGTGATAATGAGCGTTTGTTCATGTGTTACCAAAGATAAGTAGGATATCGCAAAGATAGAAATCTCGATACTTACAATTTAAATTGCGTATGAGCCATTTTTAACAGAGAAACAAAATTTATTTATTTATGTTTTTAAATAAAAATTGTGATCAACAATTGTCGACGTCCCGTAGAGGATGTCCATAATGGGGATTCTATTGTGCCTTGAATTAAAATTTTTCAAAGTGATAGGCGTGTTCGATTGCGTAATTAGAGCAAACTTAGCAAGTGCCATTAATACATTTCGGTGTCAAACGCGGATGTGGATTAAATTTAATTGTAAGGTACATATAAATATTTATCGATTAAAATAGGCGATGTTAGCTTTAGTGAATCAAAGTGGCTTATGTATGGGAAATACCATAAGTATCAACAACTACGCTTAAAATTTGTTATATGTATTAAAATAAAAAATGCATAAAACCTAACAAAAAACATTCGAAGTATAAAATCAAATT